AGATGGATGCGGCGAGCATTCTGGCAACCTTACCTGCGGATTTGAGAGCCCAGGTACTTGCGGAGCAAGATGAGGATGTACTGGCTCAATTGCCTCCGGAGTATATCGCACAGGCACGCGCTTCCATGGGCGGTCACCCGCTCCGCGGTCTGACTCGCGTGGGCGTGCTTGATGGAGCGAGACCAGGGCATCCAAGTGGTGGCGAAATTGTCAAGCCTGTCCGTCGCAGCATTGTTCAGATGCTCGACAAACCTGGTGTTGCGACCTTACTTCGCCTCATGTTTATCTTCCAGCAGGACAGCCTGCGGAACACACTATACCAGGTTCTCCAGAATATCTCCGAGAATCGCCACAACAGAGGCGAAGTCATTAGCACTATTCTGCATATTCTGCAGGACGGTAGTGCCGATATGACGGCTGTTGAGAGAAGCTTTGCGCACCTATCTTTGAGGGCCAAGCAACCTAAAGATAAGGACCCGAAGACGCCTTTGTCTCTCAGCAGGAAGAACACTGGGACGGGACTGGCTGCACTGACAACTGTTCCGAACACGGATATCTCGCCACTGATGGTCGTCCAGCAATGTCTTGGAGCACTGATCTACCTCTGCAAGGTTAACCTGCATGTTCCGTCCTTTTTCTTGACGGAGCATGAGTCCGCAGTTAGTGGTCTCAAGCGGAACGCAAGCCGAAAGGGCAAGGGCAAGGATACCAAGGCGCTGAAGTTCCCATTGAATTCCCTCCTGGTATTGTTGGATCGCAAGTTGATCATGGAGAGCTCGCCTGTTATGGAGTCCCTCTCGGATCTACTGAGCCGCATCACGGCGCCACTCCAGACCTTTGAACGTAAACAGAAGGAGGCTGACGAGGCTGCCAAGAAGGCGGAGGAGAAGCCCGCTGAGGGTGAAGGTGAAGGTGAGGCGGGGCCTGCTGAGCAACAAGCAGAGAACATGGATACCGGTTGTCCGGCACCAGCTGTTACGGAAGATCCACCAGCAGAGGCAGGTGCTTCGACTGCCGATGCTTTAAAGGCTGAGGTTGATAAGGCTGATGACAAGACCAAGGAGGCTGAGAAGAAGAAAGTGCGACCATTCGTTCCCCCTGTGGTTCCGGATGGCAACCTCAAGCTCGTGATCAACATCTTCGTTGCTCGTGAGTGTAGCGCTAAGACCTTCCGCGAGACCCTTTCGACCATCAAGAACCTTTCGTGCCTTCCGGGTGCAAAGGCTGTGTTTGGCAAGGAGCTTATCGCCAAAGCACAAGAGCTTGGCGAAGTGATTCTTCTGGACCTCGAGGAGCTCTTCCCACAAATTCAGAAGGCTTCGAACAGCACTGAACTTCAGGGTGTGGCTCTTACCAAGTTCTCGCCTTCAGGATCAGACCAGAACAAGTTACTCCGTGTCCTCACTGCTTTGGATCATCTCTTTGATCCAAAGCATGCCAGGAAGGATGCCACGGCTGAAGCCGAAGCTGGAAGTGAGACTGCCGAGACTGAGAAGCAAGATCTCCTAGCCACGCTTTACGAGAACTCTACCTTTGGCCCGATGTGGGAGAAGCTTAGCGCTTGCCTCAGCGCCATCAGACAGCGCGATCACATGCTCAATGTGGCTACGATTCTGCTTCCACTGATCGAGTCCCTGATGGTGGTTTGCAAGAACACCACACTGAAGGACCAGCCTCTTCGCGGCAAGGATAACATGCTTACCAGCCCCGTTCCGGAGTCGCGCATGGAGAGCCTGTTCTTCACCTTCACGGAAGAGCACCGCAAGATTCTCAACGATCTTGTTCGCAACACGCCCAAGCTCATGAGCGGGACGTTCTCGCTCCTCGTCAAGAACCCCAAGGTACTTGAGTTTGACAACAAGCGCAATTACTTCAACAGGAGCATCCATAACCGCAACAACCCGGCTCGCCAGTCGTACCCGCCGCTTCAGCTTTCAGTCCGTCGTGACCAGGTTTTCCATGACTCTTTCAAGTCTCTGTACTTCAAGAGCGGGGATGAGATGAAGTTTGGCAAGCTGAGCATTCGATTCCACGGTGAAGAGGGAGTGGATGCTGGTGGTGTTACTCGAGAATGGTTCCAGGTGCTATCGAGACAAATGTTCGACCCTGGATACGCTCTGTTCATTCCAGTGTCTTCCGACAGGACTACCTTCCACCCCAACTTGACGAGTAGCATCAACCCCGAACATCTCATGTTCTTCAAGTTCATTGGTCGCGTCATTGGAAAGGCCCTTTACGAAGGCCGAGTCCTGGATTGCCATTTCAGTCGTGCAGTCTACAAGAGAATTCTGGGCAAGGCTGTGTCGGTCAAGGATATGGAGTCGCTCGATCCCGAGTACTACAAGTCCGTTGTCTGGATGCTGGAGAACGATATCACCGACATCATCAGCGAGTCCTTCTCCGTTGACAATGACAAGTTTGGCGTTGTCGAGACCGTGGATCTGATCGAGAACGGTCGCAACGTCCCCGTAACGGAGGAGAACAAGCACGAGTACGTTCGCTTGATGGTGGAGTTCAGGCTTACTGGATCAGTCCAGGAGCAGTTGGATAATTTCCTGAAGGGCTTCCACGAGATCATCCCCGCTGAGCTGGTCGCTATCTTCAACGAGCAAGAGCTCGAGTTGCTCATCTCTGGCCTCCCAGAGATCGATGTCGACGACTGGAAGGCAACCACCGAGTATCACAACTACACTGCTTCCTCGCCGCAGATCCAATGGTTCTGGCGCGCCATCCGCTCCTTTGACAAGGAAGAGCGAGCCAAGATGCTGCAGTTCGTTACCGGCACGTCTAAGGTTCCTCTCAACGGCTTCAAGGAGCTTGAGGGTATGAACGGCTTCAGCAGGTTCAACATCCATCGCGATTATGGAAACAAGGATCGTCTGCCAAGTTCGCATACTTGCTTTAACCGTAAGTTCCAATTCCTCACTGCTTCGTTTTTAGATATAGTTGCTAACAGATTATGCAGAGCTTGATCTCCCAGAGTACGAGAGCTACGAGATGCTCCGCCAACAGGTCCTCACAGCCATCACGACGGGAAGCGAGTACTTTGGTTTCGCATAGAAGGCAGCAACAACAAAAAGGCCAGATAGTCCGTTTTTTTCTCAACGTTTATTTTCGCTCGCCACAAAAACACCAGAGAAGGAAGATTTTTTTTTTTTTTTTATAATTTGGCATGAGACCTGGTTTCGTTTAACTCGACGCATTTACAGGCGCACAAGAAATGCACTAATTGTTTTTGCTGTTTCTGCGTTGGGAATGGGAAAGGGGGATCGGAGGCACGCGCGTGTTGTGATACGATAGAGTAGTGGAGGGGGCTGGGAAGGGGGAGCTTGGGGGTTGGGGGGGTTACTTAGGTACATTTATGAATCGCAGCTTATTTCTTCTCATTCCGATGGGATGGAGAGCTCGGCGGAGGTTTGGTTGGAGCAGGCGGGATTGGAACTGTATGGGTTGGTGATGGGGGATGGATGGTGAGAAGTGGAGATCTTACGGTTCGGAACCTGTTGCTTGATTTATATGGGGTTACGTGCGCGCGAGGCTGGGCTGAGGATGTCGGATTGTACAGTAGATAGATAGAGCTTTGGGTCGAAAAAGACTTGAGCGTACTTCTTGGTTTTGATGCTTGTGATGTGAAATGAAGCGAGTGAAATGGGAGTAATGGGAGTGACTATGGTTCGGTTCAATATACGAAGCCTGGATACAAATCCCCAAGTGTGCCAAAACGAAGCACTCTAGTTTACTGTAGTGATTATTTGGGCAGCGACAGTGTATTAATAAATATATCATATCCACGTTAGGTCTGTAATCGTTATTTTTGAAACCCCCGTCATCCCCATGAACAGCACCAGACGGAGACGTGACGACATTGCCCTTCAAGTGCGATTCGGTGCAGAAACTAGCGAGGGTAGGGCTTATCATGCACAATAAAACGCATAAATTATCAAAAATGGGGTTGTAACTCAGTGGTAGAGTGTTCGCTTTGCATTACCTAATCTTCGGATTAACATGATACTTATATGCGAAAAGCCCAGGGTTCGATCCCCTGCCACTCCAAAAATTATTTTTTGTCTTTTTTTGGCATTTTTATCTTTAGAGCTTGTGGATTTACTCATGTGCAAGGACGATGGGATTTTTTTTATCTTTGTTATTTGTAGTTTGTGTGCTAACAAAGTAAGGCAAGAGAGAGGTGAAAGGGAGAGGTGAAAGGGTGAGGGCATTATGCTTCCTTTGTTTGGGCGGTGAAATTAATTTTCAACTTCTGCGCCTGTCTAGTTGCTTCCTTTCAGCGCCAGAGTAAGCTGGTAGCTGTAATGATATTATATTATATTGTATTGGATATTAATATTCTCTCCCTTCTCACAGCCAAAGTTCCACAGATATCTCATGATAATAATACGTAATACACCACCCGGCACCCGCCCCCGCCAAAAGTGATCAAAATATCGCTCCAGCCAGCCAGCCAGCCCCTTACCTCGGCTTCGCTTTTTAAATGGCATATAAATGGTAAAAATACCCCTTCCCCGTAACACCATACCGCACCGGCCCCGCACGTCGAATTATGATCAATCCACTTCTGAATCCTCTCCACCAACCACCCCGACTGGAACCTGACTTCCTCGCCCCCATCCTCCGCCTTCGCTGGATACCTCGGTTTCCCCAACTTAAACGCCGTATCGACCTTACATGAGTTCCTCGAGTACACGAACTGGAAGCAAGCCGGGTCCTTCTCGCAGGCCTTGCGGCAGTGGTTGTACGACTTGGTGGGGTCGTGGTGGAAGAAGTCGAAGTCGCCGACGTGGTTGGGTGAGGATGGGGTCGGGGCGGAGCTGGTCGAAGGGGGATTGGTTGTCCCAGTCGATGAGGGAGGCGATCATGGTGTAGTAGAGTTCTTCCATTAGTAGGGGTTCCTGATGTCTGTCAGTCTGTTTGCATGTGCGAGAAAGGGGCATGGATGGACGTGCTTTGGTCGAGTTCCTCTGGTTCTCACAGTCCCACATATCCTAGACCTCCTCGCTTCCCACATGATGCATCGTTGCGACCGGCGTGCACCACAGCTCAGGTCCAAAGTTAAACTCCTTTGGATTCTTCCTGTTAATAACTGGCCGCACGTTCTGCACTTTTAGAACTTTCTTAAACAGCGTTCTGCCCAACTCTTGGTCGCCGCAACACGCTGTCGTGGCGTTCTTATCGAACTCTTTCGCCAACGACTTGCGGTCGACTCCGACAAGTAGCTGCATAGCCGGCTTGCTGAGGAGGTATCCGCTGCCACCGTGCGCGAATGGCGGCCTCCCAACATCGACCTGGCTGCCTAAGCAGAGCGGCTTGGTCGCATCGAGGGTGGCAAGCCACAGGGACAAGTTCGCCCAGCTGATATATGTATCCGCGTCGATATAAAGATACCAATCGCGATCCGGCGCCAGATTCCACGCCTTCTGCGCCGTGTACAGATTCTTATATTTGTCCAACCGCCACGCCGCCTCGCTATTCCACTCAGTGCGCAGCAAGTCCATGTTCTGGCCCAGCTGGCGCAGTTCCTTCTGGTTATTGTATAGGTCGAAGTCGGGTTGTCCTTCGTGGCATCCGCCGTCGCTGTGTCGAGAGAGTCGTGTATGGCGAAGTTGCCAATCTTCCCCGCCATATCGCTGAAGAAGAGGACGTTCTCGGGTGGCACGCAGGAGAGGTAGGTGAGTAGTAGCATCGGTAGTTTTGAGAAGGCCTCTGTCGCCCCTGTCTTCACCACAATCACCAGGCTCGTGTCTTGAGGGTAATTGACGTATCGTACGCCGGGTCTCCATCCCGCGGTCGTGGCCGCGAAGTTCGCTGTGGCGCCGCTCTTTCGCTGTTGCGCCAATATTTGCGGCAGAGGGATTCCTCCTTGGCAGTTTCGTAGTCGTGCTGGCGTGCGTACCTTCGCAATGAGGCCTAAGCATTTGAGCGTCACCAACAAAACCGCCAGCCGATGTCGCGTTAAAATCTGGATACTCCATAGCGCCTCATGGAGGGTGCGCCGTCCAGTTTCATTCTTCGTGTCCCGTTCTATACGGAGTAGCTACCACAGGGCCCATGAAGCCCCAAAGCGCTCCAAAGCGCTCCAAAGCAGTAAAATTGTTTATAACAAATGAGAAACAGCGACGGCAGCCAATTTTTTTTGAGGGGATAATGACGATAAGGGGAAACGTAAGCTTTGTAGCGCCGTATAGATAAATGTCAGCCCGAGGGAATCAGCCCTGGCACGTCGGCCCCAGATCCAGTCCCCAATGCGGAACCATGACAACCATACGGGGTAAAACTTGCTGCTCTGAGGCATGCGTCGCTCCAGGCGCAGGGCCCCCGTCCCTGTCTGTCACTCATAGCCACTGAAGGCTCCCGGCATATTTTTTGTACGAGCATAAAAAATATGCTGGGAGCCTTCATGCTCGTATTCATATACGAGCATGAAGAAACTTAAGGGGTAAGACGTGCATAGTGTTAAAACCTGGCTCCCAGTTGTCAACCTACTTGTCAACCACCGTCGAAGCATATAACCTTGTATATAGCTTTGCATATAACTTACAATATTAGAGTTTGTCCATTGACAGATCGGGGGATACAGAGTGACACAGGCGACGATCGGTAAACAGAGAGGCCATCAACCAATTGAGATGGCAGTCGATACAAAAACTCCGAAACCGCACCAGGGAGAAGCTGCAGTGGTCAGCTTACCGTATACGACCAGGAGTGGGGGTACGTACGTAGTGTGTGGAGTATTGGCCTTTTAATCCACAGAGCCTCATTGACGCGTTGCCTTATATGAAGCACGAGCGTGCGGACGTAAGGAAGTCTGCGCCACCAAACTTCACCGATATTTAGACTTTGGAGCTAGTAACACCAAAACAAAACTTGTGGGATATTAGGGTGTCGAGGACATGAAAAATGCAGTCGCGACCACCACGTACGCTTTCCTACCTGTGTAAGGAAGGAACGAACTTGAAGTGTAAATGTAGTCGACTCTGCTTGTCCTTTCAACACTCTATTTGAGCACGTGGAGCGTCAATGATAAAGTAGCAAATGTCAGGCACACGAAGAATTTCATTCAATTCTCGGTTTATCAATGTAGCTGTCCTCCTACCAGCCCAGTGCAAGTTGTCAATCTGATCCTTTAACGCCATTTGCCCCATTCCGTTGCTGGGTATTTGAAACCGTCCGAGAGTGCTCAAGTATTGATACTGTCCCCCATAATCATATTGTCGTTACCGTGAAGCATTCAATAAACTCCCTCGTCCCTCCATTGGATAAACTCGCTCCCTCATCGAATAACCTCACCCTCCTTATCGATACCCTCCAGCCCCTCTAAGATATCGCTGCCTCCGAGTAACCCCTCGCCTCCAGCAGTTGCTTTTTGGCCCGCACTCCACACCTCGTGAAACTTAACGCTCTCATCGCTTGCAGCAACGACAATGCAACCTTCTTGTGCCGTACGAGTCAGGCTGCTTCCACCTTCAATGGCATTGTGAGTATCATTTGGCCCGCCTGGATAAGGGATGGCATAAAGGGCTCTATGCTCGCCTTCCCACGGAATTGCAGCCACCTGCTTACATTCTGGCCATGAAAACACTGCAATTCGGTATGGATGCTCTGGCTGTGCGTATCCAAATGTGGCACATATTTCGCGGCGTGTCGTTGACCATATGAGCGAGGTCACCTGCGCGGCAACGCTGATAGTTGCCAAGCAAGCACCGGAGACGGCGTGGAAAAAATGGATACACTTGTCATTGCTTCCTCCACCGGTTGCGATGAGGCCATCTCTCCATGGGCAGAATGCAATAGCTTTAACGGCGGCGCCATGAATCCACCTATGCTTTTCAGCCCCCATCAGGACGCTCTGGATGCGATTGTTGCGGGGAATAGAGATGGTGCGCTGAACGCTATCAAGGCAAGTAACGACCTCGTCCGTTTGTTGATCGCCCTCCTGAGGTATTGAGAGCTTATAAGCTTCAAAAAGACAGCACAGGTTGTCATTACCTCCTGTAGCAAGCAATGATCCGTCGTGTGACCATGCCAGGCCGCATATTTGCTGAGTGTGAACTGAAATACGGGCAAGAAGGGTCATGACTCCCGTCCACCCATTGCGATCAACTTCCCAGGCATCTGGCCACTCGACAGCATAGTAGTAGACGTTTCCAACCTCGTCTCCAACAACAAGATCTTCCGTCTTAACTAGTTGGCCTGGTGTATGAGGGCTTCGAGAAGGTCTCAATGTTACCGTGGGTCGCCAAGTCAGACAGGCAATGGGACACGGTTGTTGAACCTCAAAGCGAGGCAATGCGCGGTCGTAAAGAGACATGAGGTTCAGGGTTCCATCCGATCTCCCATACGCAAGTATACATTTGCAACCTTGCGTGGATGAAAACGCAATAGACGTCAACCAAGTGCCGTTATTGCTTCCAGAATTGAGTAAATGGACGCCTTGCATTTCGGACCATGCGTAGAGCAGAGAACCAAGGCCAACCGCTAAGGTATGGGATGTATGGGAGTAAGCCAGGACGGAGCAGTAAAAATCATCGCGTAAGTTAGGCGCGTCAAGAACTGTGTTCAACGTCAGTGATAATCATGCGTAACGTGGTGGTTACTTATTTAAAAGGAGCTGTAGGCAATGTCCGGGCCTCAGTTGCTTTCTTGACTTCTATACAATGTCAGATAAAACCAGTGTATATTGGGTGACGGAGATCCTCACTGGTTTGGGAGCCACTGATAACCCATTCTGTACCTCTCCAGGTGGTCTTTGTGCCAATTTCACTATACCCTCTCCTCTGGGGATATGCCCTCGGTGGCGAGATAGAATGGTCAACAAAATCGTGTATTCTCTGCGCCCTATCAAGGTCCAGTGCTTTGGCTAAACGGCCTTCGTGCTTTTCCCTGTCTTCTTCCTCTTTTGATGTCGCACTCGAAAACGATGTCGTATAGAGGGGAGCATTTGTTCCAGAGCCCATCAACCCACCACGACCATCTGAAACCCCGACGCTGAGTGGTGCTAACCCACCAACGGCCCAAACAGAGCCAAGGCTGATCTTCAGATTGTAAGTATAGTCTCACTTGATTGAGGCTAGGTCATGCAATAACGTACTTGACGTTCGTCATTGGTGGCCGTAGAATCTCGTCGAAACATGAGAGTGCTAGGTTCTGAATGAATTAGTTGTGATTTCATAATGGGGCCAGGAGACTTGCCTCCAGGGCGAACAGGTGGAAGATTTCCTCTGTTCATTGCAGCAACAGGAGGATTTGGAGTTGTGAAATTCCGACGCGGGCTGAAAGCATCTAAGCTGGCACTGTCATCTCTAATAAGTTTTTCAGAAGGTGAAAGCTGCTGTGAGTCTTTATTGACTCGGAACTTCTGAACCGAAGAATCCTGAGAGTCAACTGAAGCCAAGAACCGGTCGGGGGATCTCAATGAGCCTGAGGGGCGTTTTCCATTCGGTCCGACAGAGAATGACAATGATGGCCGAGGATGTAGCTTTGATGTGCCATTCTTAGAGTTGAGTCTCGGCATAGTGCAAATGCCCAAAGGCCATCGTCGACTGCTTAGTCTCGTCAGGAATACTTCATGCTCGTCGTTTGCTTCCGATGCGTCCTCAAAACGGGCAACTGACTGTATTAGAGCATCGGCCATGGGAACATCAGGTGGATCAGCTACTGGCGGAAGCGGATCTTCAGTATCAACAACTTCAGGCTCGTCAGTGACTGCTGGGATCGAAGCTTCGACATCGAGGGCTGCAGCTTCTTCACCAGCGTATGGAGATGGAGGTTCCGCGTCAAAGACAGATAGTTGCTCGGCCGCCCATAAACCTGCTCCTTCTATAGAGTCATTGTCATCTATGCGAGTGGTGCAGGTATCATACCCGGAATCTTCGAACGTTGAGGAGGAATCAAGGAGAGAGGCTTCGTTGGGCTGGGAAACTTGCATTGCTGAACGACGAATTCAGATCCTAAGAAAGTAACGAAAGAAAAAGAAAGCCGCTGAGGATGAACTGAATGTAGTATGGAATATCACAATGAGCGAACGATTGACTGGGAAAAAGAATGATTGAAATTATCAGATATGGCTGCCAACGGGCCCTGGGGAGCCCAATGAAAGAGCACACCAGCTGGTGTGGTGGAAGGTCCTCGTGGACCAAATGACCCTTTGGAGGTCAATTGTTAAAGCCGTTACCGTTAGAGATAGTGATTGTTGTAGAGTATACTTGTAACCCGATATAGTACGAAAGGCTCGAGGTGGAAAGGAGTTGAGACGGGACGGACATGAGCAGGATAGCTCTATGGCCCACCGAGGGGTAACGTAAACAACGTCGCTTATCGCAATCGCAATCGCGACTGCCTGCTCTGTTATCCAAGCTGAGCTTCAGGACGAACAAACACAACACTGTCAAACTGATACATACGGAAAATGACAAGTGCATGACATTCTTTTACTCTAGTTGCTTGTCCTATGGCTAATCGAAATACAGCACGGTGTCCCAAGGATTGCAGCGGCAACAGTCCGGACAGAACAGCAACGTCAGGACGAGATAGCCAAGATCGAAAAGTACCAGGCCTTAGTTGACTTGATTGAGATGAAGGTATATTGATTTGCCTAGTCTCCCTGCTAAATACTGACAGTAAGTAACAGATACAAGAGCGCCAGTATACATCAGAAGTCCTCGACTTAACCTCGAAACTGCTCACAAAGAACCCCGAATACTACACAATATGGAACGTGCGCAGACGCTTATTAACCTCTGGACTCTTTTCCAAATCGTCGGATGGGCCATCGCCCTCGACTCAGCAGCCCTCTACTTCACAAGCCAAAACTACGAGTTCGCCCTCCGAAAAGTTACCCTCTTCTACCTCCACTTCCAACGCGGTCTCCAACGAGACCCCGCAGTCCCCACCCCCCCAGAATCCTGGGAGCAATGGTACAACTCTTGAGCTTATTAAAGACGATTTATCATTCCTCGTGCCGTTGCTGAAGCAATGGCCGAAATGCTACTGGATATGGAACTATCGGATATGGCTGCTCCAACAAGCTACCTTGAGATTAGACGTACCAGTTGCGCGGAGGTTATGGGAAGAAGAGCTGGGACTTTGCAACTACATGCTGGTACGAGATAGCCGGAATTTCCATGGCTGGGGGTATCGCCGAATGGTAGTGGAGAAGCTCGAGAGCCCATCATTGAACGGGAAGAGCTTGGTGGAAGAGGAGTTTGCATACACCACCAAGATGGTAAATACCAACCTATCCAACTTTTCGGCATGGCACAATCGAAGCCAGCTTATACCGCGGCTACTCGATGAGCGGAATGCAAGTGATGAAGCACGTAAGGAGTTTTTGGACGAAGGTATGTTGGTCAAAATCAAGTACACACTCGCCGCTGACTCGTTACAGAATTTGATACAATGCGTAATGCTCTCTGGACTGATGCTAGTGACCAATCCCTCTGGTTCTATCATCAATTCCTTATGGTTACTCTGCTGGATCGTACTGTATCTATCTTGCCAAATTTCACCACAGAGCAACGTATCGACTACGCTAACTCCCAGATAAACGGTTTAAAAGAAATGCTGGATGGTGCCGAGGACTGTAAATGGATTTACAATGGGTTATACGAGTATACACTGGCAATATGTCGTACGTGCGAACGCCAGCTAACAGCAGATGAGTTGCAAGATTTAAAGTTATGGCTAGGCGAGTTGAAGAAACTGGACCCAGTGAGGAGGGGGAGATGGGAAGAGCAGGAAAGATCTCTGTACCATTAATATTATGAAATAATTCAAGTAATTCAAGGGTAGATTGACAAGAGTCTTCTTTCTATGCCACTGCTATCAAGCCCATCGATCTATTTCACAAGAGATACGCCTATGGCACTTCCAAAGGCATTCCTTCTCATCGCCACTCCGTAACTGCTGCCATGTGGCTAAAGACGGCGGCACGACCTGTTCTTTGCATGAGGCTGCAGCGCGTATTGTCACCGTAATTCGCGCTGCATACCGGCTTGATAGCTGAGCCAGTCCCTTTGTCCTCGGCTGATGCGTTAGGACAACACACCCCTCCTTGGCGAATACGGTTTTCCTCTGCTTTCCATTCTTTGGCGTAGTATGCATCCACAAGAATGATCTTCAAGCATCAACAACAACGTCAACGATAGCAGTTCCCACTGGCTCCGGCCGGTTCGAGAAGATGATCTTCCATTTCACAATATCCACAATCTCCAGCTCCTCAGCACCTGACCCATCCTTCAAAGTGCCTTCCGTTTCAGAGGGTGCACGTTTCCGAATAATAGCAATAGCCTTTGGTAGTTTCTTGACCTCTCCCGTGAGCCGCTGATGCATGCCTACATAGAGGTAGACGCGTTTCTGCCACGCTCCGCCTTCTGACGTCCCTGGTTCGTAGCCGGGAAAGACAAGGCGACCGATTGGCGTTTCGTAGCTTCCTGGCTGGTTCGACTCGTCATCTTCATCTTGGACAGGAGGAGAGGGTGTGTTGATCGTCCCTTGCATCTCCAGCAGAGCAAGCCCAGATGGTGTTTGGAGTAGCTGGGGTAATGGATTATCCAATGGCTTCTCGGCGGTTTTTGGTGACGGGTAGAGAGCCACTTTTGTAGCCATTTTTGCGGATTTTGAGTTTAGATGTATTCCCTTCGAAATTGAATCATATCATTTTATTCTGAGAATATACAAGGTAAACACGTGCTATAACTTTGTGGATCTGATTACAATTGCTGTGCCTCTTGATATAGTTGGACGCGACGAGACGCGTTAAGCGACTCCAAGCGCGTATAGTAGTTACTTTACCTCCTCTCTCTAAAATCGCTCCAATAAGCAAAGTAGTTTGATTTGTGAGAAACTACTGAAAGTAACGTAATCTCTGTAACAAACTAGATTTCCAATTATCCCAAATATCCCCATGGTTACAACGCAAATACCAGAGTGGAAAGAGCTAAGTTAACTAACTTAACGTACGCGATTAGTGTTGGGAATAGAACGTGGGCTATGGGCTACGGTGGCCATTTGGCCCTGGAAATCGGTTTTCCAGCATTCTGACCGCCTGGTTCCCGGATTGGCTCACGGGTTCGGTGGTGGTGCATAACTGTATGCAGCCACCGAATCCTATCACATATTGGGCGCCAACGCCCTTCTTGTTAGGGTCTTGGGCTTGCCCACGAAGCCTACAAATATATACTTAGGCCCATTAGATAGCGTAATTAATTCAATTTGATCGATTTACTCTACATACTTCTCTTGATTGTGATACTCGCTGGCGCTGCCCAGAAGTTACAATTTGGGTGTGATCCCCGGTCACCGTAATACACTCCAACAGGTTATGAGCCCGGTCGTGCCTGCCGTCGATATCACATTTTGATTCATTAGGCGCTAGAACGAATCAGGGGCGTTAGTAAGCCTAAACGGCATGATTTGGTATTCAAACAGGCCATAGTAGGTGCGGAATGCTGTTTTCCACTCTTCCCTAGCCTTAATTCGAACTAAAGCATACGCGCCTTATAAGTCAAGCTTTTAGTGAATATCGTTGCTCCCTAAAATCCGCAAAATGAGATGTTTAGTATCAGGACTTCATTGGCCCCACCGAACGGCTGAGGCCACGGGCTGTTGTCGGGGTTACACCACCTGACCCTCCAGAACTCCAACTTTAATAAACAAACCCATCGTTCACCTCTGCGCGCGCGACTACACACTATTTCCACCATAGAGCTATGCGCACAGACTTTGATGTGCTGATATATTTTATCTGTTAATCCTTTTCAATTGCCCAAATCAGATGCAAGGTGCAATAGAAAGAGGAATGCCCACGAAACGCTCCTTCGCAGACTTTCAAAACTCCGTAGATACTCCTTGCTCTACTCCCACCTCCCACCACTTCATCATCTAAATGGTACTCTTCTCGTGCAAAGCAGCGCTAAGTTGTGCTTCTACAGTGCGAAATCCGCTTCCAGCAAGCACCTTCCCTACCGCTGTCGCCATCGTCGTTCCAGTACGCGACACCCCCCGCCTCTGCTTCAACGCACGACGTCCCACCATCTCCCAGGTATATACAAGACCTTGCGACGCCCTGGCATGAAAGTCGAGCAGCGGATACAGATTTTGCTTTTGTACGCCGCCGCGCATCATTACCAACCCTTAACCAACTTCGAACACTTTGTCCTACGTTGTTGACATCCAAAAACCTTCAAGCAATGGATCCTACACATCTGCCAATGACCCCAGACAGGACCACGTGAGGGAAGTCACGATCGTCAACGACCACAAACACAATTGCGGATGACGGACGAAAAATGACCCTGATTGGGCTTCTGGATTGCGCAGCCGGAAAGGTTCGGCTGGATCAAAGGCCCTCGCTACAAAATACTGTCCAACAAATTGTCGGCGGGTCACGCGCTTCCTGTATAAAGCCAGAATTAGCTCAAGCATTCAGCAAGACACTGTCAAAGCTGCAGAGACGCAATGAGCCTACTATCGCGGAACGGCTGATGCCTTTTCTCGTCAAGAGAGACCGAACATTGCCTGCAGATGAGGAAGACGGTGAGGACAGCATTGTCTCCGGGAAAGAGGCTGATAGGCCCACTCTCCGATCATTTGAACTCGATCACCTCGATTGGAGCATCGACAAGGATTTCGCGCGGGCCTCTGTCCCTTTTCCGATCACTGAGACGCGGAACCCTTCAGATTTTGGCATCAAGAATCCAAAACCCGACATCGTGTATGGATTCGAACCATGTGCCTTTGATACTCAACAACAGAAGGCTCTGTTGACCTTTGAGCCCGAACTATCGGGAGGCATTATCAGTCCCTTCTTACGTGATACAATGGAAAGGATTCGCGGGGTCGATGCAGACTGCAAAGGATCAAGCGCGGCGTGATGGTGCGGCGATGGTATACTCGAGGCGCAAAGCAATGGCAAGGATCCCTCTTACTTCAGCATCACTCGACTTAGCTTCAATGGCGTTTACCTGTGTTATTAATACGGAAGCTGCACATCTTCATATCCACTGGGCGGAAGAGGCTGAGGGCAAGACAGACTGGCTCATGGCTGTTGTCAAGCGATATCACTTGGAGGAAGATGACAGCATCCGAGATTTGAGGCGAGCGTTACATAACATCCTGGATTGGGGATTAAGTGACCGCCTAGCCTTAGTGAAATCCCAAGTGGATTTGTATCAAGAGCAAGCAGTGTTGACATATGGCCATGGCAGTGGACCCGCGAAGCGGAGACGAGTGGGGGAGATTGATTCAGTCGTGTGATGAATCTGGGAATTTAAACAAGAGAAGGACCACGTTTTTATACACCAAACACAGGCACCCCACTTAGAGACAAGCATATAGTTAGCCTTGTACCAAATCACCCTACTACTACTACTATGACAGACAGGAACAGAAAGAGTTATCAAGCCAGAAGGGGATATCGGGAGTAAAATTTAGGGTTGATGCACCTACAATCCGCTTATTCTGTCATAATACGATGTATCCTGGACGCGAGGCAAACAAGAAAGAAGTGAAGAAAGATCCGTTAATAATTGAATATTGATATCACCCTCGCAGCCCTATCTTCTTTCGCGGCTTTGGAATTAATCTTTCGCTACCGAGTGACCCGCCCCATATTTGTTCTCGAAACTTTTCTTAGCATGTTGCTTATCGGGGTATTCTCCGAATTTAGTCTCGTCCTGGAATGAACCTTTTGATTCTTTCTCCCCATGTCTATCCCTCACAACTTCAACACACATTCCTCTACAACAAAATGCCCGTTCAAACGAAAGAAGCCAGGACACTTTTAGCCATTCAAGCTCTTCAAACCACTCAAAATTTGAGTGTACGAAAAGCTACAAAGCTCTACAACGTGCCCGAAACCTCGCTACGCACTAGAATAAAGGGCCGGAAGCCAATGGCAGAAAGAGGGCCAAAAGTCCAACTTCTTGATGAATTAGAAGAGAAGGCCCTCGTTCAACATATAATTGACTTAGATGCTCGAGGATTTCCTCCCCGGCTTGAAGGTGTGGAAGATATGGCCAACCATATCCTTGCGTCGCATCAAAATCGACACGTTGGCAAGCTCTGGGCGCATCGCTTTGTGAAGCGTCGCCCAGAGCTAAAGACGCGTTTTTCAGGTTCTTACGACTTTCAAAGGGCCCTTTGCGAAGACTCAAAGCTTATTGAAGACTGGTTCCAGCTTGTGGCAAATATGAAGGCTAAGTACGGCATCTTGGACTGCGACATGTGGAACTTTGACGAGACGGGCTTTATGATGGGCGTCATTAGTAGCACAATGGTTGTGACTCAGTCCGACCGGAAGGGCAGAGGGAAGAAAGTACAGCCAGGGAACCGGGAATGGGCTACAGCGATTGTTTGTGTCAATTCAGAGGGTCGCGACATCCCCCCATTTCTGGTGGTTCAAGGCTCATACCACCTTGCCAACTGGTACTGTACACTGAGAGTGGTCTGCCACCTACTTGGGTGGTTAAACCAACGAGCTCTCAAGCTTGACAAGAGCGGAACCTTTGCAGAAAAAACGCCGCTCTGTCTCAAATCTTAGGTCTTCCGCATGTACTCGCGCTTTCATATTGAGGTATGGATGTCTATGCTCTGGGAGAATGCCCGCTTTTCACATGGGCTATCTAAGTGCAGCAGCCGAAACTGGCTTAGTGCAATATCTGGCTTATTTATATCAGTACAGTAGAGTCCCGTTAGTACGATGGAATCTAGCCATCAATTTAATATCGCCCTAATGAATATATCGCACAACTGAATGCTTATATAATCCAACTATCTAGATTGCTTTGAACTCTGCCATTAACATCCAATGCCTCCAAATCTGCATCATATCGCTCAATAGCTCTTAATTGTGCTATTGAGATATCATCTCGACTTTCTGTAAACTCAATTAGAATTTGAACAGCCTGTCGAGCAGCCTGTATTGAAGGTACAGGCCGCTCTAAGGCTTCTTCTTCTTCTTCATTTTGAGCATCATCACATTGACTTAAATGACTTGATATAATATCTTGTAATACCTCCTCCTCTGTTAGTGTCTCACCATCATTATTCTGGGCTTGTGTTTCCTCATCTGGATTTAAGAAATTGTGTAATGCCATCGCATCTTGTATATTTCCAGCTCTTGTAACATTATCATATAATTCAGATAGATTTGGAGGATTAATTGGTGTTGAAAGAGCAAGTGGTGTAGTTAAAAGTGTGCTTTTTCGAAAGCAATTATATATTGTTGTGCTTTGTAAGTAGACATTCCAGCTTCGCAAAGTCCATCAAATAGCAAGATGAAGGTTCATTGATTGAACTGGATCAATGTTGGAATCAAAACATTGTAACATAAATGAGAGCCATTGTCGACGATAATGAGCTTTGAATGACTGTATGATTCCTTGATCAAGAGGTTGAAATCGACTTGTTGAATTATGAATTAGGAGGAAGCCAGCAGATTCAAATATTTGGAGGTGGAGGATTGAGTTCAAGACCACAATAATGGCCAGAGAAGTTATCCATAGAGAGAAGGACAGTTCGAGATGTTCCAATATGTCGATAGAAGGCTTGTAACCACTCCTTCATTAAAGTTGTGTTCATCCAAGCTTTCTTGTTCCACCGCCACTCTCCACCCATTGTTGAGACATTGATATTCCGAAGTGCACGAGGTTGCTTTGCTTTGCCAATTATCCAAACAGGAAAGCGATCAGTACCAGTTGCATTAACACAGAAAACAAGAGTTATTCGATCTTTATTCTTCTTGATTCCTGGCTGTGATTGGGTTGCAAGACCTTTAGATGGAACCATTCGCCAAAACAATGCTGTTTCATCCATATTGTATATATCCTCCTCTTGATATTCTCCAGCGAGAGTTTGTAAAGCCTTCATATCCTCTTCTGTAGACTTGCTAACAGATCCTGCCTCGCCGTGATTTGTATGCTGTCGGATGTTGTGTCGCTTCTTGAATCGAGACAGCCAACCAACTGAGAAATCAGGTATAGGCAGCGTTGAATACTGTGGAAGTTGCTGCCAAATCTGCCTTGCCCTTTCCTTCAAAGCCTCTCCACTTGTGTTTCCACCTCGGCCTTCAATCTGCTTTTGCCAAGCGAAAAGGATCTCCTCAAGGTCAGGCCATGTTCCAGTGCGGAGTCGAGCAGCTGTTGAGATAGCTGAGGAGTCGTCGACACTGTCAAAATGCTTGCTGAGTGACTCTGAGACTGTTGATTGACTGAGGGAATGGTTGTATTTGTCCTTAAACCACTGCTGACAGGCCTTTTGTGAGGGTCGAGGGTATTGTCGAGAATGCCACTCTCTGAGTGCACGACGCTGCTCAATAGTGATGGGCTTATTTCGAGGCATAGCCAAATGGTCCACTAGAATATCGGATAAGGCGATATTTAGGTGGTAACAGAACAATATCATGGATATTGGTTGTTGTACATGTTTTGAATCTGGACGAGAAAAAATATCGCACTATTGCGAACATCGCCTTACTGAGCATCGGCTTAGCGGGACTCTACTGTATTAAAAGCCTTATAGCTCTTCCAACCATAAAAAAAATTGCGTCAACAATAAGTTATTGCAAGTATGAGCTTAAAAAGGAGTAACACCCGGTTTGGGTTTCTTAGAGCCACCCCTAACTCTGACGAAAATGGGTCGAATGGCACGGCATCCCCTCCTGCATCATTCGACAATGATCCCCCGCCAAACAAGCTGGGGAAGAGGATACAAGAAGATGAATCATCACAAAAGAGTCGTCGGCGCTTAGGGGAGAGCGGTCGGGGTAGAGGCAGATTCCGTGCTCCAGAAGCAATTCAGTCCCAGGATTCGTCACCCTGGGAGCGCCTCCAAATGCGATTTAACCTAACCTTCAATAAATCAGTTACCATTGCTACTCAAAAGGACAGCCTCTTTGTTGCTGTGAGAAAATTCTCTGATGATCCAGATATAGAGAAGAAACTAGACATGCTGAGTCGAATTCGAAACGAGAATTTTCTGAAGTTTTTAGAAAGCTTCAGCTTTGAAGGATCTCAATATGCCATCTTTGAGCATGAACTCAGCAGAGGCGAGAAGCTGCCTATATGTCTCAGCCACTATGCCACACTTGTAACCTATCCTACTGAGTCACAACTTGCTGTGATACTTCGACAGGTGAGCCTTACCCTGAGCTGCCTTCCACATCTTAATATGTGAACAGATCCTTAGCGGTCTCGAATACCTTGCATTACATTCTCTTTGCCCTCAAAAAAATTTGTCCCCAACCCCAGCCCCAACCTCAAACCGCCAACCTAAACCGCTCGTAATTCACCCTTTCCCCCATATTCCATATCTATCAAGTAATTTTATTGAACATTTTTGTGTTAGAGCTACTACCCATCGTATCATTGCCCGCGTGTGGGCTGAAGGAAAAGATACATTCGCTGTCATCATCACTTCCTATGAGGTCCCAATCCGAGCCTATATCTAGCAGTGATATTGGGCTGTCTTTGTAGCTCTGCTGATGAGTCTGATTACTCTTACTCTTTGTTTTACAAATGGCCAGACTTTTTTTTTTGAAATCAGGCGTTGCTTGATGACTCAATATGAGCTGAGTGGGGACTTAAGTTGTAGGCACGGCTATGGTTAGATCGTGGTAGTTTGTTTATATCTCTTGTCCGAGTAAGCGGCATCCGTATTGCATGATCAGGGATCTGTTTGAGAATCTGACCCCCAGGTCACTACAATTTCTCAGCACATCGCTGCTTCCTTTAGTGGTGCAGCCGCATAGCACGTCCTCGTCATTAGCCAAAGGCCAAATTTCGTCAGACATCCAAGAGACACCCCGCTTCAGTCTCTCAAAAACCTTCGGGGTGAGAAAGTTATCACAAGGGCTGGTGGAAATATCCTTGGCGTTTAAGGCGATGATGTCATCCTGGGGTACGGATGCCGCCCGTAATGGATTGCTAGACGAATCTTGGCTAGTTTCTTCCATGGCTTCAGGACAATCTATCGCTAGAGAGGTGGTGGTTGACTAATCACTAGAAGACGGGTGCGCATAATTAAATGCTCTTCAACTCTGCGCTAAGGGCTGTCAAATTTATCAGTATGGCAAAGATGCACATATCATCTTTTTTGCGAATCCTTGTATACTGTAAAACTGCCTCTTTGCCACATTTTGATCCATGTAAAAGACGAATTGGGTGTCGCTGGTTTTTTAGTTAGTTATTTTTAGCAGTGTCCATTTCCAGACACTTGTGGTTCAGTAGTACGTTGAACCGCCGATTCTACCTCCCTCG